AAAAACCCTGTATGTTTGCAACTTGACTTCAAGCTGACTGCCAATACATGATTGCAAGTTGAGCGTTAACAAAACATTCAAAAAGAAACTAAATGCTTTGAAAAACAAGTGCTTACAAAAGATTGTTTGTGGTGAATGGAAATATTTTTTTCACTAACACAGGGCTCTTGAGAAATCACCGGTCAGTAGCTTGTCTTCACCAGAACCAGCAGTGCTGGACATATTTTGATCATACCCTCCAAATAATAGCAGAAAGTCTCCTACATGAGTTACTGGATGGAAGAATGATCACAAACAGCAACCAATGATAGATGGGTGGAAGAAACTAACTCTGGGCAATTCTACCAGTGTAGGCTTTAGAAATATGTCATGTAGCATTTAAAACTCCTAGAAGTGTATAAATATTTGTTTGCGGGATAGTCACTGGCAATAATCCAATGTCCTACAATATATCACAAGCCACAACAAGAGGAGAACCTACTTTTATCCCGTATATGGTCCTCCTGGAAAATATTTTGTGGCTCAACTCAGTTTATCAACCTCCTTGGCATCTGAGGTCATGCATGTACTTGCCAGATGCACCTTAGTCAGAGGGTTAAAGTGCTTTCCTCAGTTAAATATTACTGAGCCTGTGGGCTCCATCAGCAGTAATCTACATGTGCGTGTTGGTCTCTCCAGAGTTGCAAATAACCAAAAATTATTTCTGATGAGCCCTGCCCTTCCTGAGAGCTCAGCCCAGGCCACTCCATACAGCCCTAGCACCCTGAGTCACTTCTGGCATGGCTTGAACTTTGCCTGTCATGTTTTCTCTGCTTCTGCCATGCTATCCTTCCTCAGCTGCCTCAGCTTTCTCCATCCCTGGTCAGTGAACTCCAATACAAGAGCTGAAGTTCTGCTCCCCTGCCTGAGGCTGCTTTTCTCCCAGCTGCAGTTTCTGTCATTTAGCCCTTGAAAAGGGCCACGGGACCTCACTAATAGCCTGATGCCATCCTCACTGATGTGGGTCCTGGCCCAGTCTCAGAGCCTTATACTCTGCTTCCCACCTCTCCTTGAAAATCATGTCCCTCCCCAGTGCAGGCACAGCAGGCAGAAAAACAGCAAAGGCAACAGGATAATCCCAGAGCAATTGCATATTCAACTCTGGAGTTGAAAAAATTCAGTTTGCCTGCCTTCCAGGGAAGCTCTGAGCCTGCATCCAACCCCCTTGGACAGCCAAATCCCCAACGCCCTTCCTCTGGCACTGTTGGGCTAATCTCCCCAGCGGCTCTCTTCCAGCAGTTCATTCACTGCTGCTTGGGTTAATTGTGGGGTTGATTCTCTACCCCTTCACACAGGTACAACTCAGGAAAAGTCATTTTCCTCAGTTAGGTCTTACTTTTTTTTTTTAAAATTTATTTACGCAGAGACAAAGAAACCACCTCCGCTACTGTTTTCTTTCACAGCTTGGTTTTTTTTTTTCATAATTGTGGTCATGTTTGCACAATAGTATTGTTACAGAAAGCTGCTGCTGAATGCCAGTTTACTCATTTGAACCTCCATACCTTGTCTCCCTAGGAGTACTGCCCTTTTCTACTAAACCCACACCTTTTTTCAAAAATGAAAACGTGATGAAAAGTGATTGACTATGGGCTCTTTAGTTCCTAGCTCGGTATGTAATTCGTTAGATGGTCTTCGTCAGCTCTACATCCACCCCTGAGCTGGGCTTCTCCAGGGACAAAGTCAGAAATAGTCTGAAGGCCATGTGGGACATTTAGACACAAGCAGCTTGGTCTTGCTGCTGTCCCTGTGCTCGGGGAAGGGGCAGCGCTGCCTTGCCCAGGCAGGGATGTCCATGGCCATCACTTCACACCAGGGCCTGCCCCAGCAGGAGGGGAGGCTGTGGGCACAACATGGTGGCACACTGCCCTGTCAGCCCCTCCTGCAGTGAGCCAGCACAGCCCTGGGCCGTCAGGCACCATGCAGGCTCTGGTGGAAGGCCTCCCTTTTTCATCCTGCGAGGAAAGCTGTTCTTCCCCAGAGAGGGGCCCTGGGAGGACCCTGACAGTCCTTTGGGAGCGGCTTTGGGGAGCACAGGAGGGGGTGCTGGGGTGCGCCTCTCTTGATAAGAGGCTGCAAAGCCTTCATCGTCCCTCAAGGTCTGCTCTGGTCCAGTCCAAGTCAAGGCTGTCCACCAGCCCCAATATATACAGCATCATCCCCCCTCCAGGGATCTCCTGAGGTGAAGCCCCACACGGCGAGGGGGGCAGAGGGGCTGGCGGTGCTCCCCGGTGCTCAGCCTGTGTGTGCCACGGGTGCCACAGGGTTGCCCGCTACCACAGCAATGGGGCCTGCTGCCAGGTGGCGAGGCAATGTGGGCTGTGCTCACCCAGGACATGGAGAGAGGTGGGGTGGGACCGCCATGAGAGGACGTGGGACCTGCTGGGGCCATGCTCGGGGGGACATGAGACAGGGGCAACAGCGGTGAGGCGGCATCTCCAGCTCCAGATTTAGCAAACCCTGTGGCCCTCAGTCCTCGCAACTGGGTGCGAGGTGCTGCTCGAAGGAGGGGCCGAGCTTCCCCAGCGCCTGTTGTTTCTTACATGTCTCCATTTGACATTTTTAGCTCTTCAGGAATTTTATCTTAGCCGCTATGAAAGGATTGCATGAATATACATTCTCTGAAGTGTTCTTTGATGTTTTCTTCAGTGGTTAGTTTTAAAATGAAAAAGTGTCATATGTAGATTATGTAAATAAAATGGGAAATAGTTATTATGTTGTCTATTGAGGTGCTGTTAGGAGCAAGTTATACTGCATTTTGCAAGAAACCTCTGAATCACTCTATTTAAAAAACAAACAAACAAAAAAACCCAAACACACTAAAGGAAACAGTCCCTCCAATAACTAGCATTCATTTGCAAGATATATGAAATAGTCTTTAATACATGTATAAAAATACCGAGCAACTGTACAAAGCCCTGATCACAAACATCATTTTATTCAGGCACAGCTATGTGAAGACTGCAGGGTGCAATCAACAGACACCTCCCTGCTTTACAAGGTAAACCCACCCCTCCACCAGCCACCCAAGGGAGCAGATTTCTCCCCTGGGTCTGGTGCACAGCATTTCATGAGTGACATTTGAAGGGAAATGGCCTCTCCCAAGAGGCAGACGTGGCTCCGCAAGCTGAGATTTTGGCAGAGCTCACATCCAGAGAGGGAGGATCCCCTCTGCCTGGCTCCACTCCAGCAAAGCACTCTCATCAATGGCAAACTAGCCCTAATCCCTCAAAAACCAAACAAATGCATCAATAAAGAAAAATTCTAGTCTCGGCCTGTTCCTAGAAACCACAAGCCAGCCCCGTCAATCCTGCCTCGTAACAGGGCAATTTGATATTCCTCTGGGCAGGCAGGATTGTTGACTTTCTACAGTGGGCCCAGCCCTGCAAAACCAAAACACCCCTGGAGGAATCTGTAGCCCTTCCTTAGCTAGAGAAGAGTGAGGCTCCTCATAGCAATCTGTTCTAAGCCACTACCAAACCAAATTTAATTTCTACTTGACTGATGTGAGTTTTGATAAATTCTCTTGTTCAGAGTGATTTTGGATCAGACTCACCCATGCCCAGATTGGAATGCAGGCATTGGCTTTATCCCAGATTAGGTCACCTTGTACTGTACGGTGTAGACTCATTGACCTGGAGAAACACATTCTGCTGTGTAGTCCTAAGACATCTGGAGTTGGACATTGGAGACACCAGCATGTCACAAGTATTTCTGCTGTCCCACAAAGCCATCATGCCCCAATTCTAGTCATTTTGCATGTCAACTACTCAAGACCCACAACAATCTCGCCGGTATCTCTGACAAAGGCAGCGATTTAAGATCTAGACTTGTCCTGGTTTCGGCTGGGATAGAGTTAATTTTCTTCATAGAAGCTAGCATAGTGCTAGTGCTGTGTTTTGGATTTAGTACTAGAAGAATGTTGATAGCGCACTGATGTTTTTAGTGTGTTACCAAGCAGTGCTCAGACTACTCAAGGACTTTTTGAGCTTCTCCTGCTCGGCCAGGTGCATAACAAGCTGGGAGGGAGCACAGCTAGGACAGCTAACCCAAACTGACCAAAGAGCTATTCCATACCATATAACGTCATGCTCGGGGGGGTTAGTCGGTCGGTCGGTTGCGGGGAGACTGCTTGCTGCTCGGGGATTGATCGCGGCTCGGGACGGGCTGAGCATCGGTCGGCGGGTGGTGAGCAATTGCATTGTGCATCATTCATTTTGTATATTCTGTATATTCTGTTATCCTTCTCATTATTACTATTATTATTCTTTTCCCTTATTAAACTGTCTTTATCTCAGCCCATGGCTCTAACCTTTTATTTTCTTCCCGATTCTCTCCCCCATCCCACTGAGGGGGGGGGTGGGGCGGAGTGAGCGAGCTGCTGCGTGGTGCTTAGTTGCCAGCCGGGTTAAACCACGACAAGACTCGATTGCATTTTTGCGGGACCGTTATAGTCTTTGAATAGGTAAGCTCACACATATCTAGCACTTCACTTGTAATGCACTCTGCCACGAATTTTCTCAATTCTCTTCAGAAGAAATTTCTTTGTTGTAACTCTTGAGTAGTTTTAGCTACCCGAGCTCTTGGGCAGACTCATGAGGATTCATAAGAGAACTGCAATCCATGCATATGTGGATCCATTGCATATTATTTAACAGGCCTGTTATGGTCTTCCTGAGTACTTCTCAAAGCTTTCAATCTATCCCACCTTCCCTGAAAGGGTTACTTATCAATCAAATAAATGTGTCCATACGTTGCATCTAGCCAAATATATAGTCCAAAAATACTACTTTTCACACTACCCTGTAAACACATGGGCAGGGTATTTGCATTTCTCTATACTTTTGCTATATATTTAAAAAAAAAAAAAAGATTAATTTAAAAAAAAGATTTAATTTTTTAAAAAAAGATATTTCACAATTGATGAAAGAAGCAGAAACAGCTTTGGAAATGAGGCAGGTTTTTCTTTCCACCGAAGAAATGGATGACAGTATTTTCAGTTCGGCTACCGTATCAGGTTGCTAAGGCAGCTCTCAGAGACACCTGTAAAGGAACGGTTGATCCGTGCACAGTCCCAGCTGGCAGAAGCTTACTTGTCAGTGAAGTAAAGGTTGGTTCTGACCAAGGTGTTACGTCTAGAACTGTAAGACATATCTTCGTATACTGCATTTGGTTTTCTTTTCTGGAAATATGCCTTCCTCTGCAAAAGAAAGCAAAAAGCTCTTCAGAACGGAGCTTGAAAGGACCCAGACCAAGGAGTCAATTTACATCTTAGGAGACATCTGTCTGAAGTGGAAATGCACTTTAAAATTCCTCTCGTAAGCCAGTGAGGTCTTAGAGGACTAGGTGGAAATTGTCTACCTATGTATTTAACTTTCTATTGCCAGTCTGATGTAATTTGGCTAAAAGTTCCTTCAAGAATTGGATGTAACTGTGGCCCCAACAAAAATAATTCTTCTCCTTAGTTTTTTACTGATAACACATGAGACCAGTTCCCACAGGGCCACTTGGCTTTGCCAGCATGATGTTATACTGCTGTTTTTTTGCAGTACTGAAGCCATATGTGGACGGATGAGATGGGACCCTGGCCTGTGAATCACACTCTGGTAATTTTGAGTGGTCTTTATGGAGCAGAAGGAACTATCAGACACAAATAATTTCTGGGTACTTTCTGCAGTATATTAATGTAAATAATCCCAGTAAATGAAAAATTTCTTGGACGCCTTTTCTTTTAGGACAGGGAAAATTTCTCCTACAGCTACTTTCAGATATCAGGCTATTTTATGACTTTTTATTGTCCTTGGGTCCCCCTCCGAACATTATCTTACATCTATTGAGACTGGTATATACAGCTCCATTCCCAATTAACCAAAAAAAAAAAAAAGGCAGCAAAACAGAATAGTGTGGTGCTCTGTTCAGGAAAATACACACAATGCATGGCTGCGTTGTTGACTGCGAGGCTTACTTGAGGTTTGTTATCAAAAGGCAAACAATCTCTCGTTTACTAGGAGTTACAGAAACATAAGACGACATGGTCTTTACTGCCAAGAGTTTACAGCTAGGGGACTTTAAACAAGAGCAAAGGGGACATAACAGAAAGCCATGATTCCTTAGGTTTATCCAAAGTTTGCTTGACTCAGTCGCTATTTACAAATAATATCAAAGGCACCTATTTGCTCAACCCAGATTCAGTTTTGCTTTGGCATGGTAACAGCATACTTACATTGACATGGTACACGGCGCAGCATATCAGTGCAGACGACAGTAGCACTACCATGATGATAAGACCATAGATGAGCCAGGAACTATTACTGCAGTCTGTCTGCTCCACTTCTGCATGTGAAATTATATTATTATTATTAATATGAAGAGGTAGCATTCTATTTTTATTATGGAAAAAAATTATTTACTGGTCAGCAAGAAATGAAATCTCAACAGCATGCCACATTCATCATCCCATTAGTATTCTCACTGGCATTCCCTGTGCTCTTCTGGAGGCTGGTGGTGACCGCAGGTGGCATGTGAACGGTCAGCGAGGAGCACCCTACAACAGTGATAGCTTGCATACCACTGATCAGAAGTAGGACCACATGCCCGTAACAGAAACAGAAAATGTTTTACTGCAGTATTACAGCAATACTGAGGGCTCAGCCAGGAGTACGCAGGAATTATAAGCATCTAGGCTTGTCAGGCTGCAAGCAGTACAGACACAAGTAGGAGGGTACTGTCATCTGGAGTATATATGCTGAAAAGAACAGTGCTAGTAGAAAGGGTTACAGTTCTCTAAAACCTTAATTAATCCATATCTGAATAACATAAGATCTGATAATTTCCCTGCTGCTTTGATGCGCAGCTGTCATTCTCCCCAGCTCACATTACTGAGTTGTTGCACTGGTTATAGCCAGCGGCATAGAGCGAGACCACAGACTTTTTTGCAGACTGCAGATAGATCCTTTGCAACTCTTAGGGCCTGTTTAAACCTTATTTTAGTTGCCCAAAGAGCTCATCAAAGCCCAATGCACAGGGTTAACTCACACCACAAAGATCAAAATCAAGCACTACATCGCTGGTTTTGTCATCTTCTTAGCAAATGGTTACACCACCATCCCCCAGAAAAAAAAAGCAACAAACAAACAAACAAGCCTGTCTTTGGCCCATATGCTCACAGGGTGCTCAGTGTATGATACGGGTGTGTGAGATCATGTCTGCTGTTATCTGTGGTGCTTTAAGTAAATGCCCGAGGGCTTGTTCTGTACTCCCTGTTGTGACCTATTTTTAAACACAAAGACTTGCTATAGGGAATGGTTTCTAAAAGACGTGTCACATTAAGGTCAAAGAACTGACACTAAAAATATTGATTCATTACCTAAAACTGACAGATTATTCACAGACACACTGAAGCATTTGTTGCCTGATTTTGCCTTTTTTTTTTTTTTTTTAAAGGTGTGTGATTATGGCAAGTTTTTTCTTTAATAATTCCCCTCTGGTTGTTCGAGACAGGTAGAAATATAGTGCCTGTTTCTGTGTCCTGGTACAACAGGGCACAGAGGAATCCGAGCACTCTCTCCAAACTTTCCCAGGTACTGGAAAGAAATCTAGCCATGGATTAGTGCTCTGCCTGTCCTGACTGACATTCTGCAAGCTTTTAGTCCACCTCTGTATTGCCTATAGTTATTTATGATTAAAGAAGAGTACCTTTAATCAGCATCATGGTGCCAGTTCTAGTCACTGAGAGGAAAGAGGAATTTTTCAGCACCCAGGCACATACGTATATATCGCTATCGTTTTTCTGTAGGTTATGTAGAGTTATCACTATTTTCTTTTCTTGCTTTGAATACTCCAAGCGATTAGCAAAAGCAGGAGAAATAGTCGAAACATTCTGATCTGAAATGCTTGTGAGTCTTGAGCAAGAGGATCGCTTCATCTTCATGGGAGCTTTCCACCACACAGGTAATGCTGACAGACTCGCCTTGCTGAGGATTGACGTAGAGCGGCAACTGATCAACAACTCCACTGGTTTTTGCTAGAAACAAGAGAGATTAATGACTACCACATACTTAACACAGTGCATTTTCACTAGGGAGGTCAAAGATAGAAAGAACAGACCACAGAAATTTAGATAAAATTATTTTCTTTAAAGGCTACCTTTATGTGTGCCTTGAGAAGAAAGACACAGTACCCCCTGGCATCCTGCCCCAGGATCTGAAAGCAGCACTGACTAAACAGGTTTATCTGCTTGTAAAGGGTCTCCACCTACCTAAAAATTACATATCCTGAACTCTTCTAAGGGAATACAGCTTCACCAGCTTGCCCTTGAGACATGGATCATTGCCTGCTTTCTCAAGTGAGATTAAGCCATAGAAAGGCCTGGACACTGTTGGTTTGGATGAAATCATCCAAAGTGGGTGCCACCAATGTTGAAAATGGTCTTCAAAAAGTAGTTATTAACAGCTTGCTGTCCAGCTGGGAAGACATTTCACCGAGTTCCTCTGAGGATAGGCCCTGTTTCTTTTGACATTATCATTAACATGGATGAGGGAATGAAGAGAGAATTTATCACATTTGCACAACAGATCATTCTGGGAAGGTTGCAAGCACTTTTGAGAAGAGGATCAGAATCAAAAAGAGGCATAAGGTAATTTAATAAAATAATTTGGAGAAACAGTACATAATCAACAAGATGGAATTCATTTAAGTAAACACAGTCAAGAACTTTGAAAAGAAATGCATAAGGAAGGACATGATAAGTCTTCATAGATATAGATTACTATTAGTGACCCAGCAATCAGTTAGGTTTTGCATGCCTTAGGGACAGGAAAGGAAGAAAACCCTGTAATTTTTGGTAAACATGTTTCAGGTTGGATGGTCTCATCAGAAGGGTAGATGCATAGAGGAATAAACCGCCAAAGAATATTGTGGACTCAACCCTCTTCTGATAAAAAAAAAAATAAAAAAAATCTTCCCCTAACTAGAAACAACTGCCAAAATGAGCACTTGTGCCCACTCATCAACTGTTCATTAAGAGGCAAAACCCCACATCGCGTTATCCACCGGTGCTCATCTTGCAAACCTTGCCTAGCACCAGCTTCCCAATTATCAATCTGTCATTTAAGATGAAATAGTAAAAACTTAAGGAGATTTGCAAAACCTGCTATCACAAAAAGGCTCATTGCTTTGCTAGTTATTCATAAAGATTTGGCTGACTGTTTTGGAAAGAGCTATGGGTCCTTACTGTTTCCAAACTGCTGCAGCAACCTATGACTCATGTGAAAACCCATAGCTAGAATTAACTTAGTCACGAATTGATGTTCTAGGGGTTTTCTTGGTACTGTTCTATTTAATGTGCTTTCTTCATCTTTTCAGACCCACACTTTCCTTTAAATCAGTACATTACCTGAGCAAGACATGAGTAAAGTTCTGTCAGCCTTTCCCTCCCATTATGCTTTCTTCCAATCTTTGATTTAAAATATATATATTTGTATTTATTAATTCATGACAAAAAGGTGGAATTGCAATACCTTTCACCACTACTATGGTTGTCTTCCCATTCAGCTTTTTGTGATAGACTTTGGTTTTAATATACTTGATGCATAGGTAGATATTGGAATCAGATTCCTGTACATTGTGCAGAGTTATCCTGAGATTCATTCCTTCCTTTGAATACTCGATGCGATTAGCCAAAGCAGGAAGGATATATGAAATTTGCTGCTTGGAAACATATAACACATTGGCTGGCTGTATGCTAGTTGTCAAGTGCATTCCCACTTCATTTTCTGAACCTTTCATTGAGCAAGTTATGGTGATGGAGTCTCCTTCCCAAACACTGATAATGTCTGTTGACTGTTCATTTTCTCCACCTAAAAATAAGAAATGCAATTGAAATTATAATATCAGAGTTGTTCTTCATCTATTAATATCAAAGTAGTTTTCAAAAACAACTACTCTGTCAACAGAACCACTCTGTAAGACTGGATCTTAGTCTTGCTACCCTGTATATATAATTTCTTGGCTGTCCTGAAACCTATAGTGCCTTTCATGCCCATTGACCTGTGCAACTCAATGTCTCCCCAAAGCTTAAAAGGCCTTGGCAGAAAAGTGGCTTCTGTCACTCAGGCAAAAAATTTAGTCTACTCTGTAGATTCTTAGTATGATCCTATTAGTTCTCAGAATACAAGCTTCATCGAACTCAGCCCAATAAGTGGAGTTGGCTGAGGTTCTAAATCTGGAATTCAAAGGTGTCAAAAAATTGCAGAGAATGGACAAAAATTACACTTTTTTTTTTTTTTTTTTTTTTTTTTTTTTTTTAGAAGGAAGGCTTTAGCAACATCAGGAAGCTGGATAATGTAGCCTTTTAGGAAGAGAACTACAGGAGGTATAACACCAGCCTAAACTAAGAAACAAAGGTATAAAAATACGTAATGAGACCCCTTGAGTTCTCTAATGATCCCAATATCAAAAGAAACTGAACAGTAAGAACTTACTCAATGAATAGCAAAGAGCAGAGGGATCAAATGGGAAACCCCTAAAAGAAATTACATTAAAAGCAAGGGAAGAAAAATGAAATATGCGTAGCACATATCTAGGACACACATAGTATAGAAGGGGTAGAATTATTCAGTGTGGACAAGCAAAATAAGGATCCCTACATATTTAATTTATTTTAATATGGGAACAAACACAGAAGTCAAACACAGAAAGACCAGATCACAGGAATTTAGATACAGTAGGTCAATCCAACCTGACCAGACACAAAGACATTACTCCTACAACACTAAGAGAAAGAATTAAGGCAACCCAGGAGTTGTCAGCAATTACCTTCCAAAGCAGCAGAGAAATGGGGTGATGGAGAAGGCTGGAGAAGCTCAGAGCACTCAGGAAAGAAAATACTGAAACTCGTGAAATGTAGGAGTGTCTATGTTGTACATACCCTTCCAGCCAGGGAAGCACGGGAGAAGCAGAAGAAAGAGAGACGCAGTTGGGAGACGCGATATCCACAGCATTTTCAAAGGTCTTTTTAGTTGTTCTCTATTATCTGGCTGATGAGTTAAAGACCTGAAGAAAGGGTGTATGCCGCAAGTTGGCCTGTTTTCTTCCAGCTACATCAGCAGTCTACAAAAAAAAGCAACGTGCTTCTTTTGCCTTACTCTCACAACAAATGTGACAGAGAGGGGGAAAAGAGGGGTGCGTCTTGCTTTTGACTTCACACTTAAAACGCCTACCATTTCCTACCATTGAACAACCCCCAGCCCTGAGGGCAGGATTAGAAAGAGTCTCTACAATGAGCACCTACCTTCCCTTTACAGTCAACTGAGAAAAGGTAGGCTCAAAGTTGCTCTTCACAGTGCCAAAGTCAGGCAATTATCTCCCTGTTGTGGCCTTACTAGGAACGTAGGCGCTTGGTCAGTGTTCCTGATGTCACCGAAATCGGGAAGAATAAACCTCGTAACACCATGTAGTGTTAAAAGGCAGGCATTCTTTATTCACGGCACCAGATGCACAGGGGATCACTCCACCTAAAATGTACCCATTTTCTTAAAAGACTAGTGGGTGCGATCGTGCACTACCACAAGCACTAGCTAAAAGGTTTCTATGTATAGTCAGGGGACTCTAACCCCTATCCTTATCAGGGGACTCTGACCCCTATCCTTACCCGGGATTTTAGCCCAACCTTGTGAGGCTTTCGCCGCGTCTTATTGGCAGGCAATACCTGGGGACTCTAACCCCGCAGAGGGACCTCCCAGCCCAACTCTGCGTAGCTTTCAACGCACCTTACAAGCAGATTGGTGGGATTTGAACCCAAAGCTTTATCCCCTTAAAAGACTGCCTTATTACCTGTCCAGGGAACTTGCTCAGAATTCTTTGGTCGGGGGATCAGAGATTCTCCCTGAGAATCCCTCAGTGCCGGCTGGAGGTCCCGTGATCCCGCAGATCTGTCAAGATTCACAAGCGTTGTCCCATCTGGGTCGCCAGAAACTGTCACCGAAATCAGGAAGAATAAACCTCATAACACCAACATAGTGTTAAAAGGCAGGCATTCTTTATTCACGGCACCGGATGCACGCGGGATCGCTCCACCTAATGTGCATACGTGGCACCCGTTTCAGTCAGGTTATATAAATCAAGTATATACATATTCATTACATTCATACATAATCAATAACATTCTCTCTAGTGATTGGTACAAATTCTCTCACTTCCTATGTAAATTACTGCACAAACTGAGTTGTTCACTTCTATTGTTCCCTTTTGAGTAGGTGGTATCATTTGGGCAGGTGGTCAATGAGTCGGTAGTCACAATCTCCCCCTGCTGGAATTACCTCTTACCTACTCGGCTCTGAGTCTTGGCAATCCTAACCAACTTTCTCGGTCCACTACACGAAATTACCTTCCATCTTCTTTTGACAGGTGCCCTTTGTCTATAGCTTCAGCTACATTAATAATTACCTTAAGACTACTCTCATTGTCCTGAACTTAGTATTCAGTTGGGTAGGGCTGTACAGAAGAGAACATAGCAGCATTCATGGTTGCATATTGTAGTTAACTGATTCAATCCCCTCACCCCAATGCTGAAAACTAAGATACATAACAATTTCATCATTATTTTGGTTACACTGAGGGCTTAGCAGGCTGCCTGATTGGTGGCTGCAAATGCAAAAATCTTGGCTTTGTAAGGAGCAAGCAGATGAGAGATGCTCCATTACTTCAGGTATACCTTAAATCATTATACAAACCCTAAAAGCTCACAGAACTACAGGTTTGATCTGCATATTCTCAATGACAATGTGCATAATTTCCAAGCAACAGCACGGTATGTACCTCTCGTGTGCCTCCTGGCTTCACATCTAATAACACATTCTGTAGCGTACATAAGAGCCGCTAACCACCAGCAAAAAGGAATCTCAGCTACAGTACCCATGTAGCTCCTGCCTCCTCCCCGACATGATGAAAAGCTCTTCTTGCAGGCACTTTTCCTTGTGTGAACACATAGGGAAAGGGGGTGTTCCCAAAGAGTTTCTTGAATACTTGAAAGCTGAGAAATTTCATGAATTATTGTAAAGAAAACAGAGTTCAGGCAGGTTGTTAAATGAGATTTTAATTAGCCCTACAAAGACTCACTACTGAGTACAAAAGCAGATGCCAGGAGACATCTCTTACTCCCTGTTTTTGCTTTTGCAAGATTTAAGAAGTGAATCATGACAATAATACTGGATTATGAGTTTGGGAATCACGTGGTGGTGATGCTTTGTAAAGGAGATTAGCATACCAAATAACGCAATCAACAAATAGCCAGTTTTTAAGCTAACATTTTATTGTGATAACACCACAAATAAAAAAAATACCATTAAAGTGAAATTACAACTGTCAAATTATGGCATTTGGTGAGTCAGACTGCTGCATATCTTTAGTCATTTTTTATTTCATATACAAATATTGTCAAATATTTGCTTATTGCAAACCAAGACAAAGCAGTTGCTTAGAACAAACGCTAGATCTTCAAAGCTATTTCTAACAGTTTTTCCTGAGATGTGGGATGATTAGTGTCTACCAGCACAACACAACCCAGCAAGGGCAAAGTGAAGCAGTTGGTAGCAATGTCTCCGAATATCACAATCTGCATAATCATCAGTAGAAAGAAGAGCTGTAAAGGAAAGTGTGCTTGAGTGAGCCATAAAGATCAGTCTGTGACTTGTGACTAATTTAGCTAAGCAACTGTCATGGGGCAGAGGTGTACATATAATCTTTCTTCTCAAAAACATGTCCAGCTCTCTGGCCCCAGCTGGTGTTAAAGAGTAGAAATTAAATCTGGACATCATTAAACCTGAATTGAATCCCTCAAGTTAATACAATATGAGTTCTAAAATATTGTTTTGTCCCTTTTCCAATGACCTCAAAATCTGAGTTTATACCAAAACTACCCGGCGTCAGCCGAGGATTTGAACACCATACACACACACACACACACACACAGATTTTCCGCACATACACACAGATACATTTGTTTTTCTCATTAAAAGACCATAAAAAACCTGCCACGGCCTTCAATTTTAAGACAGTATTTTTCTAGGTATATGGAAATAACACGTACAGCACTGGAAATCTCCAGGAGTACAGCATACAGCTTGACTGCCTAAGCTGGAGCACTTGGCACTTCCTCAAAGGCACGCATGGGAATCACTTACAGCAAACAGAACCAAAAGCAACACCCGTGATAGCTGCAATGGGGTCAAAAAGTGGAAGGCCCGCACTCGATTTGAGCACAACAGCAACCCAGGCAATAGCAGCAGATATGTTATTTCCTCCAACTGGATCGGTCAAAATAACATACTCAGTAAATACCTAAAAGCCCTTGAATAGCTGGGGAATGCCGTCTCCTCATGAAGTTTTGACTGCATTCCACCATATTAAAATTGAAAAGAAAAAATCCAGCAAATAAGATGAGAGCTGAGTTAAAAGGTTATCTTAGATCAGCATGAATGTAAAGCCTGCATCAGGGAGGGTTAAAAACCCAACCCGTAACAGCAGTAGTCCCCTGTGCCAAACAAGAGCCAAATTTAAGCAAATTTAAGCACAGAGGGTTTTCCGTATTTCTAAAATTAATTGACAACATTTTTGGCTGTCTTTCATTATGAACTTTTCCCTTCAGGTTTGATTGGAGCATATTTTAAGAGTTACATGACGTCCTACATCCTTTGCGACTTCCTGCAGGAAGGTTTATGGGTAATTAAAACCATGTAAAAATGATTGAGCAAGTATTCTTACTGTTTCATGGATCTGCTTTTCCAGTTGTGCTGATGATGATTTTTGCTCAGAAGCCTGATACTAGATCAGGTTTAATGCAAACTTTTGAGGATTTATTCAAATCAAGTTGAATGATAAATCATTTGAAGATGAAGACAGGCTGAGAGAGTTGGGGTTGTTCAGCCTGGAGAAGAGAAGGCTGCGGGGAGACCTGATTGCAGCCTTTCAGTACTTAAAGGGAGCCTATAGGAAAGATGGGGACAATCTTTTTAGCAGAGCTGGCTGTGACAGGACAAGGGCTAATGGTTTTAAACTAAAACAGGGTAGATTTAGACTAGATATAAGGAAGAAATTCTTTACAATGAGGGTAGTGGAGGGAGGTAGTGGAGGCCCCATCCCTGGAAACATTCCAGGCCACGTTGGATGGGGCTCTGAGCAGCCCGATCTGGTTGAAGATGTCCCTGCTCACTGCAGGGGGGTTGTTGACTAGATGACCTCTAGGGGTCCCTTCCAACCCAAAACATTCTGTGATTCTATGACATACCACCTGTGAACTACCAAATGGGGATCCTTGAAGCCCTGTACTCATCACATACTGTCTGCATGCAGGACACCCAAACCTACCTTCAGATGCAGGAATATTGTAGTCTTTTCTGATAAGGAAACAGAACGGGTACATCAACACATTTTCCTATCCACCAGAGTTACTGCTGAAAGTGTCCTCTGCTAAAATTGCCAATATTTTGACCTCATTTGTTAGGGAGATTGACCCAATGCCATTTCTGAGGGAGCTGGATATAGTCCTCCTGCCCACTCTTGCACAGGAATGAGCACTCAGAGGAGAGGTCCTCAACCTGCTGTTGGCTGCAAAATCAAGGGTCTGTTCAAAAGGCCAAACCCCTCCTAATTCAACAAAGCAGTCACCTGTACAAAATGGGGTTTTTTTGATCTAGAGACCACCTGGGAGTTAAAAAAAATAAATAAATAAAGACCTACGGGCATGCTATCATATTATGAAATGGAAGACATGCAGAGAGCGCCTGCCTCAGGGTTTAACACATCCTTCCTGAGCACAGACAGGTCCCTGAAGAATTTCAGACAAACTGATAGTTTCAATCATGAAAACCGTTGAGAGAATTCAGCTGGTTTAAATGTGTGTTGCTGAGCCAGCCACACATCTTGTGGTCACTGCTGTCCTCAACAAAGCACTAGGAGAGGATAGAAGATCCACGGAGCTTCTCATGCTGCTTGAAGGCCTGGAGCTGGATAACTGTGGCAATCAGAGTCCTCAGTGGATTTGGTGAAGGTACATTTGTG